AGGGTTTAGGGTTGCTGCTGCTGTTGTTGCTTGGGGTTTAGGGCTTAGGGTTTAGGGGCTGCTGCTGTTGCGACCTTTGTGCATGCGCGGCACGCGAGGACAGGGTGGGCGGAGGGAAATGAAGGGTTGGATAGGGTCGGACTGCCGGGTGTAAGGTAGGGACCATAATAATTAGAATAGGGTTTGGGGGTATGTTATACTAATAATTATAAAAGGGAACCCCCCAAAAAATAGTATAGGTAATAATTGAGGCCCTGATATTATGCAGGGGCTTCGGGTGCAGGGCAGGGGTGGCAGATTCCACGGACCCAGGGCTCCTGGGCCAGTCCCCGTGCATGGGGGGCCTGGCAAGGGTTTCCAGATTTTTGAGGTTTAGGGTTTAGGGTTTAGGGGTTTAGGAGTTTAGGGTTCAGGGTTCAGGGTTTAGGACAAAACCTCTGAAGGGCTCAATGACGTTGTAAGTATGCTCAAGATTGAGGATTTTATAGGCTTTACAACCCCGCATTATGGTGGAGCTTCGGAGAAACCTAAATAATATGGGAATAAAGCCCAAGACAACCCTTCCTAAACCTGCTAAACCCTCCGAGTCTGTACACCCGACACACTATAAACCCTAAACCCTAAACCCTATACGAGACATGGGTTCTTATTGCACATTTACTGAAGCATTAAGCTCCCTCCACCCAAGCCTTAAACGCAAAACCACCCTAAACGCTGGTATTCGCCCAGGAGCCATCAAGACGTAGGGAACGCGCGATGCGGCTGAAGAGCAGAAGACCATGGACAGCAAAAGGCAGATGACTCCTGGGTTTTATGTAGAGCTCAAACGATATACGTGAGTTTTTTTTACAAGCTTTACCGATGATTTGTGGGTTTTAGTTGAAGGTGCCTCAATAACCCTGAACCCTAACTAAGCCCTCAATGATCTGAAACACAAGCATTGGGACTAGATTATTGATTTTGCACTTCTAGATGAACACTACTCTGAAAGCTCAACGGCTTGGGTTGAGGGTTTAGGGTCATAGTAAACCCCAAAAACTTGGAAACCGGCTTAAAGACAAATTGTGCTGGCATGCCTTTTACCTCACTCTCAAGCATTGAGGCTATCGTGCTTCCAACTTTTGGGCTTATACGATATTCTACAAGCATTCCTAGCTCGATATGGGTAGTTCTCGAACTTAGGTCCCCAAGTTAGTACGGAACCCACATCATAAGGACCCTAAAAGGGACCCTAACTTAGAGAACTACCCTAAACCCCTAAACCCTAAACCCTAAACCCTAAACCCTAAAACGGACCCTAATTTAGAGAACTACCGACTTGGGTACTGGGTTTCAGGCACGGGCAGCTCGGGGCGTCGGAACACCGGGTTTTA